TAAAGTTAGTCACTCGCTACTTCTTTAAAAAGTTTGTGCGTATGGTTTTGACAAATATCTTCCAGTGGATAAATGCACTCCTATCCAATCAAAAACAACAAGTTATTGTAGAAAATTCAGAATCCAACTGGTTGAATGTCCTTAGTGGTGTACCTCAGGGTTCATGTATTGGGCCATTACTATTCCTCATTTTTATTAATGATATGCTTCATCTACTCAATCACCATTGCAAACTTTATGCTGACAACACCAAAATTATTGCGATTATAAAAGAACTCTCTGACCTGCAGCGATTGCAAACCAACATCGATAGAGTAGTTGACTGGGCTGGTACTTGGTCAATGAGCTTTAATCTAGAAAAATGCAGTTATATAATTTTTAATAACCATCGTGGCACACAACAATTAAACAACAAAACTTTTGTTGATGATAAATTTGATGATGTTCCAAGAAAACCGATTGTTCGCAATCAGTTTTCTTGGAACGATCAAGTAGCAAAAGCTATTTCAAATTCATATACTGTTCTTGGAATTCTTAGACGCACTTTCAAACATTGGACTCTTGAAATGTTCTGTGTTCTTTACTGCTCTTATGTAAGGCCTCATTTGGAGTATTGCTCAGCAGCATGGAGACCCTTTTCAATTGAAAGCTCTTGAAGCTGTTCAAAATTGAGCCACAAAACTTGTCCCAAATCTGCGAACCATGAAAGCCAAGGAACACTACTCAGCTATTGGTAATCAATCACTTGAAAATCTAAGGCGCCGAAGTGATCTTATACAATACTTTAAGATTTATCACTGCATAAGTAAAGTTAAATGTATCAAATCACTATCTCCTGCTCCTGCTCCTACACTTGCGCAACCTGGACCAGCCAGTGGTCTTCGGGGTTTTCCCCATCGCATTCGGGCACCAAGAATTATTAAATGTGTAGCTTGCAAAACTGGCAGTTGATTGGAATGCGCTACCACCAGATATCATTACCTTCAATAGAAATGTACCAGATATTGTCAACATTAACACTTTCAAAAAAAAGCCCAACAGATTTTTTGGCTCACTTCCAAAAAAAACTGTATAATTGGTACTTCTGTTTCTCGTTTGGGAATGTTATTAACTCAATGTGCAGATAATTTTATTTTTTTTTTTTCTTTTTGGTAATCCTCTATACTGGATCTACCATAGCAGGGATTGGTTGCTTTCCCAGCTTCACAGATTTTTCCGTTGTAGATTAAATTTATTAATAATAATTATCATATATATTATAATATTTATTTATAAGGAGTGGCTACACTAATGTTACTAATTTGAATTTTAAACAATTTTAGAAGAGGTCAAACATAAATTGCAAAAGTTAAATATACAAATCCATCATTTAAATTTAGGACTTCCTAAATTTTAATGATGGTGTTTAGATCTGTTGATAATAAAATTAAATTCATGATAATAAATTAATTGATGAGTGTTGAAAAAAAATTAAAAAGTAGAAAAAAATATATAAAAGTAGAAAAAATATATATTTGCTGCTGAAAACATTTTCTTTTACCAATATAGTTACCAGTTTACTAGTTTTGATTTTGCTTTTTATTGTTACAAATATTTGAACTAAAATTTGTTATACTAAAATTGAACTTTTTAAAAATGTAATTTAAAGTGTCCTTCAACGTATTTATCTTTAAAGGTGTTATTGAAGACGCACTTGGAAGTTTTTATGCACCAAAACAACCCCTAAATGCTAAAACAATAATCAAATTCAAAGATGATGTCAACCGAATCGCTAGAAAATTTTTTAACATTTTGCTTAGGTATACATTTTTTATTGTTAACAATTTTGCAAGTTATCCTTATTACTAATAACAGCATTTAATTTTTGATAATTTTCCCTATATAAAAAGTTCATTGTAAAACTTAAAACAGATTTTATGAGCATAAAATCTGTTTTAAGTTTTTTTGTTCTCATTTTTAGCTATCCAAAAACCAGGCTTCTTGGATAGCTAAAAATTAATAACAGATCAAGAATAATGCAGTCATTTTATTTTCTGCTTTTAAAACAATTTGCTTAAAATATTTAAGAAAAACGCCTTCCTCCCCTTGCTTTTTCTCCCTTTTCCTTCTTTTCTCCCTTTTCCTTCTTTTCTCTGTTTTAAAGTAAAATCTTTTTTCAAAGATTTTTTTCTATTGAAAGAATAAAAACAACTAGCGGTTGCTTTAAATTTTAAATAATTTAATTAGCTTATCAATTTTATTGTTAATATGTTTTTGAAATTGTTTTTTAAGTTGAAAAATAACTCGTTCAAAGTTTTTTTTTAATTTTTTTTTTGTAAAGGTTGCTATATTTTATTTTCCTGCATGACATATTGTTATATTAATTTAGTTTCGATGATCTTTTTTATATTATTTCTTAGATTTAAACGTTATGAAAAAGCTTTTTTATTAGCAGTTGATATTGGCTCAAAAGATTTGTTTATGGTAATTAAATGACTGAATCGTTTTTTTTTGTTGTTATTTTTATTTCAATGTCTTTTTAAGTTGAATACTTTTCTACTCATTATTTGATGAATCAAATTTTATAAGTTTAATTATCTCTATTTTCATATTTAAAACTTAAATTTTTAGTTTAAAATTTTTTATAAAGGACATTCATTACTGCGCTTTGGATGAAGGAAAGATTGATTTGGCAAATGCTTCTAAAAATCGAGCCTTTCTTATACATAATCAAAAGGATAATCATGGTAAGAAAGCTTGAATGCATTAGTTATCAGTGTCTAAACCATGAATAAAATCCAAAAGTAAAAATAGTGTTTATAATACATTTGTTGCGCTTATTTTGTTATCCACTCTTGTAGTTTAATGAATATCTGATAGTGGATGAATGTCAGATTAAAAATATCTGATGATATTTTATTTTCAGGTCTTACAATAGCCAGCAATTTGATGCCTTATGAAATAAATGAAAATGATGATGAATTAACAAGAAAACTGGAAGCTGTATATATTACTCCTGCTTTTTCTAAGTATCCTCGAAGAGTTTCAGTGCCACAAAATGAGAATGATAGTGAAAGTGAGTTTTTTATAATAGTTATAGTTGTATTCAGAAATTAATACAGAATTACTACATTAATAAAAAAATGCTTTGCTTAACTAATATGCTGAGGTCATAATCTATGCATTTCAACTAGATACATTTACTTGTTAGTGTTACTTGTTAGTAACACATTTATAGTTTGTACAAGCAACCACTATTAGAGTTGGAAGTTACTGGAAGAGGAAATATAAAGTTTATAAAGCAAGATAAGGATTATCAGACTCAGAAGCTTGCTTTAGAGCAGCACCTATTATAGTACTCATAGAATTTATAAATAAATATTATTTATAGTATTTATAGAAAAGAGAAAGAGGAGCAACATAAGATTTGCATTTATGAACATAAGATTTGCATTATGAACATTACGAAGATGTGTAAATTTTTGAAGATTGGCTGCAAAAACAGGTCCAACTATGTTTACAATGCGTTTTTGCACTGTATCTAAAAGAGAAAGGGCATCATTGGAAGATCCGCTCCAGATATGGCAAGAGTATTCCATACAAGGATGGATTTGAAATTTATAGTGATGAAGAATCTGCAGTTGGAAAATTGCAAGTACAATAAAGAGGTGCAACCTTAGCAACGATAAAGAGATGCAACCTTAGCAACCTCAACAATTATCAGCAAACTATGCCACCTTAAATGTGAGAATTTCTGGGAGATCGTTAATGCAAATAAAATGACCAATGACCAAGGATAGAACCTTGACCAAGGATAGAACCTTGAGAAACCTATGAAGTTACAAGAAATGAAAAAGAGTGCTGTCCATGGAGGATAACTTTTATAACACTAAGATCACAAGATAGGACAGCTGAACTCAAATTAGTCTCACAAAGAGCAAGTAGGTCTGGTGAAGAGATAAGACTCAATAGAAGAAAAATTATAAGACAAATCATCAAGTTCTTTTCCTACTGTTTTTTTTTTCTGCTGTTTTTTTCATTTATAATTTTCTTTTGTATTCTTTTTTTATCATAGGAAAATTTTATTGTTTTAAAAAGCTAAGCACATCTAGTACCTCTTCGAGCACTTCTTCTGGTATTAACAGTGAGAAATATTTCAGATCTGAAAATGTAAGATATTTGTTAATCTTATTTCAAATATATTTTTTGGAAGAAAATTTTTCAGTAAAATATTGTTTTTTTGGTTTTACTTTAACAAATTTTATATTTTAATTAAAGATGGGGGAAAAAAATCAACATTATTTATGTGGATTGTGTTTTAACAGTGTTTTGTTACACCAGAATCTTTTGTTAAAAAAGTTAAATTAGTTACTGGTTAAAAGATCTGTAATGACACTTCATAATAATTTATGCAATTATAATTCTGTTGCAATAAAGAGTTGGAAGAATGTGTTATCAAATTTTTTTGTTGTCACAATTTCATCAAAATTTTAGTTTTAAGCATTTTTAAATTATTAAAATTTTATGCATTTAAAAACATTTTGTAGTTTACATACCCAGCTACCACTCATAAATTAGTGAAATGTTAGAATGTTAGATTTTAAAATGTTAGATTGTTGCAAGATGCATTGTCTACATTCTATATTATCCTGCTAGAAAGTATACATTGGTAAAATGTTAGAAAGTTGCATTATCGCAGCATCGGTTGCCAACATAATTTTATTCTTATCTATTATAGAGCATTATATATTATAGAGCAGCCATAGCGCAGTGGTTAGCGTGCTTGCCTCGGAAGCTAAAGATCCGTGGTTCAATGCTATCTCTGAGCATTGAAGTTTTTTTATTGTTACTTTAAAATATTTTTATGTATACAAAAATTTCTAAACTCAAGTTAGACTCAATTGTTTAGTTATAAAAGCAAGACAACTTATTAAGACTTTTAGTTCAAACTACAATATTTCTTGTGTTTTTATATCATTGTTATGTTTGTTTATACTGATATTGCTAATATATAAACTTGTAGAATTTTTTTATAAAAAACCTACAAGTTTATATATTAGCAATATCAATATCTTTATATATATAAGAAATTTTTATATAAGTTATTTATAACTTATATAAAAATAAATATATAAGTTTTTGTTTAGGTTTTATTTTCGGATAATTTTGAGAAAACTCGTAGTGATGTCTAACAAAATCCTCATATGTAAAGTTAATCTGTTTTACTTAATATTCTGCTTGTAAAAATGAAATTGTTTGTAAATAATTGCTTATTACTTATGAAAACTTATAATCAATGCTATTATTTAAAATGAAATTATTTGTAAATAATTCAATGCTATTATTTAAAATGAAATTATTTGTAAATAAATCTATTACTTATGAAAATATTATGTATTGTGTTGTATATTTCTCTAATCAATAATAAATAATTTTTTACAATTTAACTATGATTTTTATTTGATAAAACTTCTGTAAATTCTGTTAATACTTTGTTGAACTTAATTATTAATTACAGAATATTATTTTTTGACTATCATTTGGATCAGTTATAAATTTTTCTACTAGATTTTTAAATTTTGACTCCTGATTAGTCAAAATAATAATTTGCTTCTGGTTAATCAAGTCAACAACAACTGGTTAGTCAAGTCAATAACTTCTTGTCTGACTTGATTATTCTGTTGCTCTTGTGTACTAGTCAGGTTTTAATCACAGTGATTTTAAATAATCTGTTTTTGACGTCTTTGTATAATTTTGTCTTTTTATCTCTAATATCTCTTATAGTAATAAAACTTGTAGTAAAATTTGCATTTGCATAAAATTTGATTGAGCAATTTAACAAATGTTTGACCAAATACTTGATGTAACACTTCATTAGCAAATTGAGTAAAATACTTATAATTTACAAAATTTATGGTTATGGAAAATGTTTCAATGACATTGGGAAAAATTTGTCATTTCATATTACTGATTTTTTTTCATTTAGCTTAACTGGTTATTAATTATTATAAATGCAAATGGAACATGTTTAAATTTTTTTTTTTTTTTTTTTCTCACAAATTTTTTACTGTTTTTAAACTTTTATTATCTTAAAATTTTGATGATGATGATGATGATGATGACCAGGATGATGATGACCAGAATGATGATGATGATGACCAGGATGATGATGATGATGACCTTTTTTTTTTTTAATAAATGTTATTTTATTTATTATTTTATATTTTAGTCACAAATAAAAGTATAGCAACATTAATATGTGGTTATATCGTAATTCTTTATCTCGAATTGTGCAACAGATTTCGAAGAATATCATTTTTAATAGGTTAAATAAACAATTTGCAACAAACTCAATTTTGTTATGCAAAAAAACTGAAATTCAAGATGCATCAAAATATCTCACTTCAATACTCTCTGAGTATAAAACAGGATGTTTTTTTGCTGGCATAAGTCAATACTGTGAAGAGGAAGATCATGATAATGTTGTAATGCTGCATTTTTCCTCAGATATTTTTATTAATCCAGAGGTTACTATGAGTAAGCCTAATTCATTATTGAATTGTTTGATGTTATATAATGATGTTGATGCTTTTATGAAAAATATGAAGATTTTATCAACGTTGCCAGTTTATGTTGGAGAAGTTGATGCAATTGAACAGTCTCAATGGAGTTTTGGATTCACACTTTTTCCTTTTAGCATTTTTTCTAACAATATGTTTTGTTGTCTTTTGCATGAAAGTGGACTTGTTGTAAATGTTGATGGTAAAAGTTGCAAATATGACATTGAAGACATTGATTATATTGGTTTACATGTATCCAAATCACCCTTCAATCGTAGGGAAATTTTTGTTGCTTTGAAAAATGAAAAAAAAGTGCCTTTAATAAGTGTCCAAAAAAGTCATGATGCTTGTGATTTAGAACAATTGACATTAGAAACAGAGTGGATGATCAAAGCTAGTGCTCTGCTTTGTTTAAACTTGACTAAGAAGGGTAATAGTCGGGTACATCTCAGACTCTCGCCGTTTCTCCAACCTGAAAATAATGAGTTTGTTGCCAAGCGTCAAAAACTTTGGAATGCATTGATTCAGCGACGCACATGGGAGAAAGAATTCTGATATGAGAAGTGCTACATCTTAGTAGGGATGTTTTTAATTATCAAGTATACTGTGTATTTTTATAAAATATGGTGTATATCTCCATAAATATATTTTTTTTATATAGTCTTTTATCTTACATCTCCATACAATTTTATTTTCATTAGATTTTTATAATTTCTTTAAATATAGAAACAATTTCTTTTTTGAAATTGTTTAAACTTGTAATGTTTTTTATATTTTATATGTTTACGCATTTACTTTTTTTTATTGTTGTAATATTTCTGTACCTCAGAGGTCAACTATCGTAACTCACATTTGACAAATTTTACAGAAGAACCCAAATGAAGTTACTACATATCTTTTTCTGTTAAGAAACAGCTTTTTTTATTTTTTAAATTGATATTTGAAATTCTTCATACATTTAAGTGGGTCTGAATAATATCTTTACCACTAAAACAAGACGGTCTCCCTGTGACAGTTAAGATAAAAACCTGAAAATCAGCAATTTTGCAGTTATGATAGTTGACCTTTGGGGTACAGATTTTATGATATAGTTATGATTTTTTTTATTATTTAAATTTGGTTAATGAATTTATTAAGCTTTTTTTTTTATTTAAACATTTCTGTAGTTACAATAACATTTACATTTATGATTATTTATAGCAGTTTGCTGAAATTTGATGTACTTGTTTTGTGTGTGTGTGTGTGTGTGTGTGTGTGTGTGTGTGTGTGTGTGTGTGTGTGTGTGTGTGTGTGTGTGTGTGTGTGTGTGTGTGTGTGTGTGTGTGTATATATATATATATATATATATATATATATATATATATATATATATATATTCCTATTTTGAAGGTCTTAAACTTGTTGTTTGTGTTAAAAAATGACTCCTAACTACTCAATTAAATCTGATGTTTGGTTGTATGTATACACACACACACACACACGCATATATATATATATATATATATATATATATATATATATATATATATATATATATATATATATATATATATATATATATATTTATATATATATATATATATATATATATATATGTATATATATATATATATATATATATATATATATATATATATATATATATATATATATATATATATATATATATTAGGTGCTATACAGAGACAGATCCAGCATTTTTTAGTGTTTGGGATAGATAACTACCAAACATGGAGCAATTTCCAAACATTTTTATGTTTATACTTATGTCAAGTAATGATGTTTTGCAAAAAATTGCTATGATTAAAGTCTGGGAACAAAAAAGCTTTTTTATTTCATCCCCATTAAGAATTATGACCATATGAAGTTCGCCGCCCCCTCCCTAATTTGAGAGGGTTACTAATTTTATATGATCACAATTTTTGAATGCTGAGAGATAATACTATGAAACTTTTCCGATGAATATAAGTCTAGTTAAGAATAGTACGAAAAATATTTTACCAATTTGTTGCCCGTCATGTTTTGTTTTTTGTTGTTTTTTTTTAGGGAGGGGAGGGGGAGTCAGAAATGAAAGTTGTTTTTTGTTCCCAGCCTCCGATTTTTCCAATCACAATTTTTTGCAAAGCATCATTATTTGACATAAGTATAAGCATACAAATGGAGGGTTAGCCACCTTACCAAAAAATGCTGGATATGTCACTGATGCCTTAAACCTCCATTAGATAAGGTCAATTGTCCAATATTTAGTAAATGCTTAAGTCCATTTTTTATTTAAACGCTCCCTAATATTATTCATATGTGCGTGTGTATGTAACAACATGTAGTTTATATTATATCATTTTATAAAAATTTATATTTGTATGTATTATATGATGCAATACGCACTAAGTCCGACTAAACTGTTTTTGAAAAATCAAAAAAAAAAATTAATCTAGTCTAATTTGCGCATCAACACTCATGAACAAAAATAATATTTTTTTTGTTCATTTTTAGGACCAAACATTTTTTAATTGGTCTAATATTTAAATAGATTTTATATTTCAGTATCTAGAATGCGAAAATAGGCTTAACTCAAAATTTTTAATTTTGTGACTTTTGCAGCGTTTTGCAGACAGGCTCATATATGAGGAGTTAATATAATAATTAATTTAATAAATTAAAATTTTAGTACTGACTTTTTTAACACTAATGGGTTAAATTATTTAATTATTTTACTTTTTATTTTTATTACTGTTATTATAAATTGCCAAATTAAACTAAAAAATAATACTATTCAGATAATAATGCTGTTGAGATAATAAAAATAAATGTTATTTAATTTGTGGACAAAACAAGAAAGTTAAATATAGTCCGTTTAGTGAATAAAATTAATTTTTATTAATTCAAAATAAATTTTTGAATTCAAAATGTTTTAATTGATAATCTATACGATTTGTAAAAAAAAAATGTTTTTGGTCAATTATCAATGAATAAATGTTTGTTACCTTTAACTTTAAACATTTAAAAAGCACAAATGCTGCAATATTATTTTCTGATTTATTTCATTTATATTAAAATTTCATATATTTTTATGAGAACTTTTTGTTCTCTACATTCTTATATTCTACGTTGTTATAAATACCAATTGCATAAATTTGTAGGCCGGTTTCTAGAGAAAATGTGGTTTTTGAAAACTTTATCAGTATATCTGTTTTTTATTTTTTATTAAATTTTTGAAAAACTCTATTCTTATTGTGCATCCATTTTAATAAAATTATCACAAATATTTCCTTAAACCTTCTAGTCAACACTAGCACCTGTTAAACAATGACGGATCCAGGGGAGGGGGTGAATATGGGATGCATCCCCCCTCCCCTCCTCACCAAAATCTGTAAGTCCTAGAAATTGAGGATTTTTTTTTTATTTAGGAGACTAAAATATGATACAAAATACAAAAATATTTCAACATCCTCATCTAATCAAAAATTTCTAGATCCGTCACTGCTTTTAAACTTTTGATAAAAATAATTCTAGAATAATTTATTAGGTTCTGATAAAGTGAAAATAAAATTATATATGAAACATTGAAATTGTTTGATTTGTTTGATTTTCTTGTCATTTTTAACTTATTTTTAGATTCAGTGTAAATGGAAACATTAAATAAATGTTTGCTGTCATTAAAAAAAGCATCTTGTGACAGTGAAAAGCTAGCTATACTTCATGTAATAGCTAAGGTTGCTCCAAATCTCCAATTAGACCTTTCATATGTAAATAACTTATTTGATGCAATTTCTGCAGAATTTATTTTGCGACTTCTAAAAAGCAACGAAAGTGAAGACTCTCAAAGGTATATTTGCATTGCAGTACGTATTTGCTCAATACTTTTTCAAAACAATTGTCATTTAGTTAATTCAAATGCTTCCATTTTATTTGCCATTTTCAACATTGTACATCAGTTGAAAAATGAAGTGCTTTCTGAAACTTTAGAGCTGCTACTTTCTATATCAAATATTCCAGAATGTTCCAAGTTGCTTGTCGATGCTGAATGTTTCACTTATTTAGGAAAGTTTGTTAAAGAGGATAAGGAGAGTAATTTAGTTATGTCATTGTTTGGTAAAGTTCTTAAAGCCACTAATAATTTTCCTGATGATGCTGACATGTTTATGTGTGAGCTTACTGCATTGTTCGCTTCTAGTCAAGACTTGAAAAAGTTCTATTATATGCATGTTCTTGATGAATTTGTTCAATATCTAGATCATTTTGAGCTTGACTACATGAAAAGACCATTTATAGTTTTTGAAGATTTTATAAAGGGTTGCAGAGAAATACTTCAATCTCGTGTCAAAGAAGAGTTTAAAAAAAATACTCTCAGCTTGCTATTAAATTTCACAAATACATTTGGAGCAGAGTTTTTGTTTGATTCTCGTAATAATTGTGATGAAAGGTTTGTTGCTTTAGTACTGACAGTGACAGCCTTAGAATTAAATTTTACTAACAATCAGTCTTTTAATTTTGTAAATAAAAACATTACAATAGCTTGTCAACTTACCCACAATTTGCTCTTAGCTATATTTAGTGATTGCTTTGAAAACAGCCAGTTTGCTTCTAATGTTGAATTCATAAAAAAATTATTATGTTCGTTGAATAATGTTATATCTGCAGTTTTCTTTTATCTCAAACAAATCAAACTTGAAGATTTAGATAGTGCCCAGTGTTCTACAATGCAGGCAGCATCTTCACTTATTTGTATTTGGGCAACAGAAGACACTAGTAATTTACGCAGTGATTTGGTAGAGACTCAACCAATCATTTTTGAAGTAGTAAAAATCTGTTTTAAAAGTGAGTTATTGAATTATTGATAATAACATTAAATAAATAGTATAAAATAGTAAAATATAATATAGATATTTTTGAGGTAGCTTTGCAATAAAAAGATTAAGTTAATATTCCTGCAGGGTTTTTGAAAATTTCTCTTGTTAATTATATATAGCCTAGACACTATTCATATATTATCTAGAGTAATAATCACTAGGTGGAAATAATTTTCTTGTTACATGTGCAATGATGTGTTAAGCTTTGCACATTGTACTGTAGCCCAGAATGTCTTTATTTTGTCAAATAGTTTTGTAAGTTTCTTTTTTTTTATATATCTAATATAAAAAAATATTTTAAATAATTTTTAGATATCATTTTGATGTTAAAAAAAGGTTGGTGGGTACTATTTTAACTATTTTAACTTTTTTTATTAGGGTAAAATGGGTTCCATAATTTTTTTATACTTAAAATTATATATATATATATATATATATATATATATATATATATATATATATATATATATATATATATATATATATATATATATATATCGTTGGGGATAATGCAAATCCGCGTAACTAGCATTGGCTACTATATTTGGATATTAATTTTAACACCAAATATTTATTGTTGAGATTACAAAAAACATGAATAATATTCTTTTTACTAAAATGAACCTAAAATCAGTTAAAATAAAAAATAAATAAAGTTTTAAACTTCTCCAGTAAAAAAAATGTACTGTAGATACGCGGTATTATAAAATGCTAGTTACGCGCTTTTGCACTATCCCCGACGATATATATATATATATATATATATATATATATATATATATATATATATATATATATATATATATATATATATATATATATATATATATATATATATAAACACACACCACACACCACACACACACACACACACACACACACACACACACACACACACACACACTATTTTTAAAAATAACGCTTTATAAAAGATTATTCTCCCACATCCTCAATGTGTTTTGTATAAAAAAAATAATATTGAATTTAAAAATTAACTTGTTAAAAGTATTATCATGAATTGCTCAGCTCCTTAAACATTTGATCATCAATCAATAATATACATTTAATAAAGAATATTTATCAAAATTAGGTCAACCTGAGTCTCAAAAGACATTAAATTATAATAAACCTAAAAAAAATCATTTTTTTTATTAAAAACGTCTTTAACAAATAATAATTTAAAACCTTTTCAAAAACTTATTTTTTATTATATAATTATATTTTTTACGTCAAAAAAATAGTTATTTTATAAAATATTTAAAAATAAATAAATAAAGATATTTTTATATAAAAATTATAAAATGTATAAAAAGTAACAGCTTATCAATTAGGCTCTTTTGAGTCTAATTGATAAGCTGTTTAAGCATTGTTGCATCAGTTCCTAATGTTTCAGACGACAAAGTTGTCGTCTGAAATATCAAGAACTGTTTTTCTGTGGGAATATAAATTCAAAAAAGCGTTTGAATTTGTATTCCCACAAAAAAAACTGAAGGTTTTTTTAAATTCTTGCCTTTCACCTCATGTTTTGAGGTCCAAACTTTTGCAAAGTCTTTTGGATATATTTCCAATTCTAATTCACTGCTCATGTGTGACCATTTATTTCCAATTCTAGGAGAAGAGAACATCCTATTCAGTTTTATTTTAACTTCTTTAAATTAAAATTGATTAGGATGAATTTGTAATTCACTGCTCGTGTGTGACCATTTATTTCCAATTCTAGGAGAAGAGAACAACCTATTCAGTTTTATTTTAACTTCTTTAAATTAAAATTGATTAGGATGAATTTGTAATTTTACATCCTTTAGAGTAATAAGAGAACCTCTGAAATCCACTTCTTTAAAGGATTAATTTTTAGAGCAGTTTTGTTTTTTTATAGTTTTCTTACATTACTTCTCCATTTGTTGTATTTCAGAGTCTCTCCATCAAGAGTTGTTATAAAGTGTCACATAGGAAGCTCATTTGTATTGAGTGAACAAACCTATCAGTTCAGGTTTCTTTGTAATTTTATTTCCAGCCAATGGATTGCTCTATTAACAATCCTGTGTAACATTAGTAGGACATTAGAGATCTTGTGCAACATTAGTAGAACATTAAGAGAACATCCTGTGTAACATTAGTAGAATCACCACCACCATATTGATTTTAGGCTTTTATTACTTTCTTTTTCAAAAATTCATGTATATTCTGAGCAATTGTTGTTTGTTTTATGTTTTTGAATTTTTTTTTCAAATAGTAGTTTTTTAAGAAGTCGAAAAGCTTCATACTTGCCATATCTATAAAAAGAGCCAACTTGATTTTTTATTGACCTCTCTTAACTTTGTTATGATTGATAACTAGCTTACTAGCATCTTCTGTAGTTAAACCTGCATTCAAGTTGCAGTTGCATCCATCTTGAATGTAATTAGATTTAGTCAAAGTTGAAATAGTCAGATATGTTTCTAATAAGACCCAAATTATATTTTATATAAGAGTTTAATTTTATTAAATAACTAATTAAAAACAAAACTAAGTTAAAAATTAGTTTACTTCATCCGTGAAAAATCTTTCTCTAAATTTAACTTTGCTTTCTGTTTGTTTTTTGTAAGTCAGCTAAGTTAATGTAAGTGTCTTTAACACTTTGTCCAAATATAAAAACTCTTTTTTTTCATTGTTACATTCTGACGTACAATTTTTCTCACGCATACTAATAATTTGGCAATTACAATTTAGCATATAAAACTATTTGTTAAGTTTAGCGAAAAAACTTATTTTTATCTTTTAAGCTTTCCTCTAGTTCCCTGAGTATTATCTAATTATTATCTTGTTTGCATGTCAATCATCCGACAGTATTATTAGTACTATAAATATAGTATTATTATGTTATAAATGTGTTACACCATACACAAATGAAGCATATGCGTGGATCCGCATATCAATCAACTTGAGTAAACATCGTTCATTAATTATTTTTTATTGTTTGGTTTTTTTATTGTTTTTTTCTTGCAAAAACAGTTATTTTCTAAGAATATCTCTTGGCGAGTAACTCAGATACAAGAATCTTTTCCAGGATCTATATATTCGAAAGCAATAATCCGCGTTTTTTCTCGTTTTTGATATCGACTCGTCAAAAACAAGATTAGTCATGATTAAACAGTTTCATTGTTTGCAAACGTTAAGCTTAAAGTTGTTTTATTGATATATTTTTGACAAATAAAGTTAATATAAAAGTTTGGCAATATTGATAAATAAATAACTTTCATTGTTTTTACATCACATAAAATTCAAAATGAATGAGTAAACAAACGCTTGCGTTTAAAAAATACGCTGCATCTCATTATGGTTGAAGCTAATTACAAAAAACTAACTATAAGTAGGCAATTTTAAAATTCACTTAAGGCCATCCATATATTATGCACGCAAAAAGCTCTACATTAAGACCCCTCCTCCTCCTCCTTATCTTCCCGCCTGGTGCACCTCGTCCATTTTTATATCCATCTCCCCCATGCGTATATATGCTTGATGGTTATACCCATACCCATATATAATATAAAAGTAATTTTTTTTTTTAGGGAGGGCAACTATAGTTACAAGTATAATGTGTATAGACAAACTTAATACCAAAAATAGTTCTGAGAAATAAAACCCTAAACTTAAAGAATTTATAATAATCTCATAAATATATGTTCATTACAAGTATTACAGAACATAACTTAAATTGTTTTCTATGACACTAAGTATCTAAAAATCTGTAACATTTCAATGTCAATCATTTCAGTTTCCCTCTGGCTCTCGAATGCATTTTGCAGCCACTAGAACAATTTTCGAATAACTGGCATCTCTCTGTCCGGCTTATCAGCAGATGGCATCCAAACCGTGTCGTCATCATCGTCACCCCACCTCCCAACCCCTGCCCCCCCCCCATCCTCCATCCCTCCCAACCCCTGCCCCCCCCCATCCTCTTGATTAAGATTATAGATTTTTTTTTTCATAGCGTCTTATACATCTTTTCATGTGTCGCTATTTTATTTAAGACAAGAGAAATTTATGCCAAATTCAAATAAAAGTCTGTTTAATATATGTAGATTTTGTACTTACGGTAGTTAGCGTTTTTTATTTTTTTTTTTATGTTGTTTTTTTGTTTACTTTATTGGTGTATTTTGTAGGTTTAACAGTGGAAAATACGCAAGGAGCAAAGTTAGTTGATTTGTTTGTGTTGTATATATTGCAAAATATTCAAAACACAAAACTAAAACTTTTCCAAAGAAAATACTTTATCTTTGTTGTTGATTATTTGCAGCACATGCTTTCTGAAAATATTTTAAATCTGCAATCCATTGAATTTTCTCTCCATCTATTGAACGTATATACTTTAGTTTTTCCAAAACTATTAGCAAAATATAAAGATTTTAATTGTTTCTATCAATTGTTGTTATTACTCTTAAACAAAGAGCAGTTTCTTCTATTCAGTGAACTATCGTATTGTTCAAAAGTTGAAGCAGTTTCGATTGCAATTTTTGTGTTGGGTTTACTTGACGACAAAAATGAGTTTTTAGAGAAGACTTTTAAGCTAGCGTTCAATATTTTGTGCTTAAAAAATGAAAAAATCGTAGATAACTGGATTATATTACTTCAGCGTTTAATAGAGTTTTCCCCAAAATGTTCGATGCTGAAGGTGCTTATGTGTTCTCACCGAGATCTATTGTCCGAAAAGTTAAATAGCGTTGCAAAGGCTGAAGATGTTTTGGCTTCTCTTAAAGATTTCTGCTCGTAAAAAGTTCTGCGATGCTTCTTAGGATGTGAATGGAAATTTTGGTATTCAAAGCAGGTAGATCATATCTTCATTGTATGAAATCAAATTAAAAAATTAATCTCGTATAGAAAATAAGTGATAATATAGTTGTTATAATGGTAATATAGTTGTTATAGTGGCAATATATTTCATATCGCAACAATATAGTTTTTATCGCAACAGTATAGTTGTTATCGCAATAATATATTTGTTAATCGCAATTATATAGTTGTTATAGCACCAATTTAATTCTTATCGTGAAAATATAGCCCTACAGCTTTATTTCAAAACGTCTTTAGATGTTTTTACGTATTACGATAAAAATGCTATAAAAAAACTCTTGTGAAACGTTTTTGAAATTAATGATTTTTGTTAATGTTTTCATAATTCTTCAAAAGTATTTATTTATTGACGTTTACAGACATCTAAACAAGCTTATTTCGTAAAAAAGTCAACTTCGAATTTTTTTTTCACTTTGACAGGTTTTGAGAAAAAGCTGTTACAATAATAATAGATATTTTTATAAATCTAAAATTTCGATGCGGTTATAAAAAAATTATTTCTATAGAGAATCGAAAAGCTCATTAATAACGCACCCAATAAATCAAAAAAAATGCAACCCCCGCTCCTGTGTTGTTTTTTATAGAATCAAAAGTAACTGTAACAAGAAAATCTATTCCAATCATTTATAGTTGTTTTTAATTATAGTCGTTTTTATTTGTTATTATTTAATTATAGTCGACTTTTTTTTTTCGTTTAAAATCGTTTTTAATGCAGTAAAAAAAATGTTTCTTGCGCATGAACTTGGAATAAAACGTACGTTTCAATTTTTCAATTAATATCAGGGCCGACGACACGGGTTTCGAAGTGATGGGGGGGGGGGCACTAACGTCAATTTTTAAAAAAAAGTCTATATCTAGAATTTTCTAATATTTAAAAAAAAGGGTGGGCACGTTCACCTCTTGCCCCCCGGTGTCGTCGGCCCTGAATATGGTCTATCATTTTTTAATAGAAAAATACACGGATACAAATCTGTTATATAGGATACGAATATGTATCTGTTATATACGGATACGAATCTGTTTAATAGAAAAATACACGGATTCGAATGTGTTATTTCTCTGTGTTTTATAATTTTGCTTTTCTATTTTTTTAAAAAGTTGTGTTATTAATTAGGCACTTAATGCAAATGTTTTCCGCTTTGATGAAGTTTTTACATGGAGGCAATTTTCCGCTGCCTTTACTAACAATCTTGCTTTCTTGGCCAGCGCTCTACTGCATCATAGCTACTTCTGTGCCACAGATATTTTTGTGATGTAGATATTTTCTGAACCAGGGGGTAGTGCCCCCTGTTTAGAAATTATCTTTTATAACATAAACAATGTAAATGAATTTTTTTATTATAAATTAATTTTTAAAATTAACAAAAAAATAATTGTTAAATATAAGTAAAAACGCACATTAAACTAGTGACGTGCGGTTATGATGATATGGTTCTCTAGAACTTTTACGGTTTTTTTTTGAATTATTGTGCCGGGATCCTTCATATGAATATTCACACTCATAGGCGAGTTCGGTAAGGTTCGTTTTTGTTGATGAACTTTTTGAAGTGCTTCTGATAATAAACCCCACCTTAAATTGAATTATTGTCAAAATTACTTGACTATAATCTTGTTTTAAATAAATACATAATACAGGATTTACTAGACTATTTAAAATTAGTGAATAAATACTTAAAATCTCCACAATTGGTGGTATGGAATTAATCATATCTATTATAACGTAGTAGTTCATATATAGTATAGGTATGTAGGCTGCTACAAAAAAAAATAGCAGCAAACCAAACAAATGAATGACTCGAAGTTCTTTACGTTCCAGTTCAACTTTCTTCTTAAATGATTTTTTCTCGATCGAAAGTCGTTTTTTTCTTATAGTTTTTCTTGCTCTTATTACGATAAACAAATATAAAATTGTCATTAATAACACTAAGATCAGCATAAAAGCCCACGAAATGGTCAAATAGGTTTTAGTATATTTACTTTTAGTCTCAGTAAATTTAAATTCCCAACATAACGGTATCAAAGTCAAAAACAAAGGCACTATCCATACAATAATCAAGAGTCTTACAGTTCTTCTTTTATCGACAACCCGATAATGAAAAAAAGGCATTGATAATGCCAGGTAGCGATCTGCAGATAAAGCGAGAAGATTAAATAAAGAAATAAATAGTATGTAGTAAATTAAATAGTTGAGAATGATTTCAGTTTTGTAGTGTTTCTCTATTATATGAAACGGTATAAATAGAGTGCCGATTACAAAGTCTATCATTGCTTGACTAAATATTAAAACGTTTGCAGGGCGTCGCCGTAGTTTTTTTTCATAAACAAATGCTCCGACAACAAGAAGATTTAATAATACAATCACTAAAGCGCATATTGGCAGTATAATAAGTTCTCTTGTTTCAAGAGGGGATGACTGTGTCGATAACTGAATTGTTTTCTGAGTAGAATAGATAAAGTCCTTAGGCAATGTAGATAAAAAGATACCTTCTTGTGTGACATGAAGAGTATCTGAAGACACCATTGTGTTTCTAAAAAAAAGGTTACACTTTTTATAAACATTTATATTCAATAATATAAATATATTATGATGTTTTTAAATGACCATCAAGGTGTTGTAAAAATAAAATTACAATAATAATTAATAATTTTATACATGATATAAATGTAATGTAAAGAATTATTTTCGTTTCTATTGTGTTAACACACTAAAACATTTCTGATTAACTTTCATATCTATTGTGTAAACATACTAAAAAATTTCTGATTAACTTTCATATCTATTGTGTTAACACAGTAAAACAGTTTTAATTAACTTTCATATCTATTGTGTTATTACAGTAAAACGTTTCTGATTAACTTTCATTATTTTAAATTCTTTCAATGCGGAGGTATTTAGCTACGAGGTTATTAAACTAGAAAATATTTTTTGTTTGCTGCTTGGTTTTTTTTTGTATGTGTGTTTTTAAAAATTGAAGGGTCAAGTAGACAAAGATGTTAACTAGCATATAGCTTTAAACGAACAATGAGCGTAGGTTTAGGGTTTGAAGCGAGCTCTAGGTATATTTTGCGCTATCGGTACAGTTAGGTTTATTTGATGCACTTAAAACAAAAAGAAAATAAAAAACTTACCTGTAACTATATAACGAATATATTCATGAATTGATTTATTATCAGTTTAACCATATGTGCATGGAAAAAAAGTTATATTTGTTAATTTTGTCACATCTTTATCCACTTAACCCTTCAATTAGTATATTAAATTATATATAAAATAAATCAATGTAAAATAATAAATTTTGCTTTGAAACGATTCACAAAAAAGACAAGTTTGAAAAATTTATATAATTATCTTTTGAAGCGTTAATTATTTATTCAAATGTTTTTTATTACAAGACAGCGACGCCAAAATAATGTAAAAATAGATTTTTTCCGATTACTCTAAATATAAAGTGATATTTAAGTTATTTTAGGTTTGATTTCATTATTTATAAATGTATAATTATTTATAAATATGAATATTTGTATTATATGAATATTTGTATATATGAATATTTGTATTAATTATTTTTAAATGTATGATTCCATTGAGTATTTTTATGCAGTTAGAGTTAAAAAGAATGCTCCGACCACTTATCTGCCAATGATTATTTATTTATTATAAATTGTTGTGACAATTCCCTAAAAATTGCATTATTTTAAGGAAATTACTTTCTATACACACATATACACACACACACACACACACAAATATATATATCACAATTTTAAATATGCCTTAGATAAATTCTTTGCTTTATTATTAAATACAATATATATATATATATATATATATATATATATATATATATATATATATATATATATATATATATATATATATATATATATATATATATATATATATATATATATATAATAATAATAATAATAATAATAATAATAATAAAGGTGTTAATTAGATTAAACGTTTTTATTAATAATTGTGTAAATTGTCTAGGTTTGTCTAGGTACCAATTGTCTAGGTACCAAAATTTCCTTGAAACCTATTTCAAGGAAATTTGTCTAGATATTAACTTTGGCATTATTTATAAGTATTATTTTTAATGTTTTTTTGTTTTGTTTTTATGTTTGTAAAATAACCGCTGATATTTAAAATACAAACCTTCCAGCATTTTATGTTGTTTACTATATCATCAGCCGAGAATGACCATGAGGCCGTATGTCTATTTTTTGTGTTTTCTTCAAAATTAAGTTTTAAAGACTTTCTGCCAGATTGTCCGACTAATTTGTTAAATATTTTTAAAAGTTGTATCATTCTTGAAACTTGCTTTTTTAAACACATACCCAATTGATTGTTGAATATACATTGATCATAAACAGAAAAATACAAAATGTGGACATACGGCCACGTGGTTCTCAGCTGACGATATACGCAACACATTTGATAATTTTATTTAAATTATAGTTTTTTTTCATTTATTTTATCTAAAAGTTCAACAACTAGTATACACCCAAAACTCACCTAATAATATACACCCGAAACTGAACTGATAATTTAACATGTTTTTAGATCAATTTTTAAGTAAACATTATACTGCTTCAAAATAAGAATGTCGAGATTCAAAATTCTTTAAAGTTCCGCCAGTATAAATTAATAATGCTATGTATATGTTGCGGAATCATTTTCTTATGATTTCTTCCATCATTAGGTAAATAGTTACAGTTTAAATTAACTTTTTCTAAAATTTGATACAAACTACATTTTTTAAAAAGACAAAAGTTGTTTGCCTGATAATATAATGACGTCCTTCGTTTGCATATTTTCAGTTAAATTAGTCTTTTATTTTTAATTATTTTAAGCTGATTTTAGTCATTTCCAATTTAATCTTTTCTGATACTAATAATCACGCAGATTTAAGGTTATTTATCCACTAATTAAGAATTATAGAACCTATTTATCTTGCAATATTTCTTACTTTGCTAATATTTTTCTATCCACAATTTTAGTTCATCGATTTTAATCTTTCCAAGATATATGAAAATTAATATTAAGGAATATGAGCTTTTTCTTATAAACCGTAATTGTTTTAACTTTTTTTTTGATAAATCAGTTTTTTCTTATAAACTTTAATTGTTTTAACTTTTTTTCGATAAATCATGTTTTTATATTTTTACAAGTTTTTATATTTTGTACATGAAAGATGTGACAAAAATTTCAAAAATCATATATATATATATATATATATATATATATATATATATATATATATATATATATATATATATTATATATATATATATATATATATATACTGAATAAATTAACATTTGTTGTCGTAGTAAAGAAATTACTTTCACAAACACAAACAAGGTTTCTGAAAGAAGATCGTACTGATCTTATCATCAGAACCTTTTACAAGCGTGTGTATATAAACTACATCAAAACACAATCAACAAAATAAAACGTAATAAACAATAAAAGTCCTAAAAATATATATATAAAATTACGATTAAAAAAATCTGACTACATCATCCATTAAGATAATTAAATTTTTCAGTTTATATTTGAAAATGGGAAAAGTAAAATGCATGTCGAAATCGGACAAAAACATTTTATTCCAAAGATAGGGTGCAGGATGTGCAATACAAAACTGATTAAACTTGGTTCGACAAAAGGGCTCATATATAAAACTATTGTTTTTTATTATATATTTATTTAGTGGTTTCAATCAAAAGTGATCTTTGAAAACGGGTAAAGATATGTCATTTTTCCACAGTTCTTTCAAAAAGTAGAGGCAATTTTATTTGTTTATTTGAAAAATTTAACTTAATATTTTTTTCCATAATGCAAAATGATTATATTTATATTTCAATCATAATTATTTTTAATTTATGATTTTTTTTTTTATTATTTTATACATGTACATACGTTTTATGTACATTATATGTATAAATTAGAAGTCTATTTTTGTACGCAGCGACGGATCCAGGGGGGGATAGGGTTTATGCATCACCCCCCACCCTACTCCACCCGAATCCTAAACTAGATAAAATACACTTTAAAAAAAAACTCAATAAGATAGTTTGTAAATGCGTTCAAGTAATGTTTAATTATAATAAATACAGTTGGCTTTTTTTTACAACATTTTTCCAACATTTTTTTTTTTCAATGTGATCTGTAGTTGCTTTATTCATTGCTTATTTTTCTTTCTTCTAATTTTTTTAATTGCAATTTTTCGACATAAATGGGTAAATGACTTTTTGAATGATGAAAGATATCGGTGCAAACTACAACACATTTTAACACATTTTTTGAGCTTTGAAAGTGTGCGTTATTTTATGCTATATTTTCAAATGTAATACAAGATTTAATAAAAACTTTTCAAAAACATTATCTCCCAAAATTGCGTTTAAGTCAAAAGAAACCTTTTTTTTTATATTTCACATTCTAATTTATGTAGTTTTTATGCTTTATCTAGGGAAAGGGGGCGTGGGTGAAGAGGAATTCATTTTACAAACGTATAGTAATTATTATATTCATATGTATATATATATATATATATATATATATATATATATATATATATATATATATATATATATATATATATATATATATATATATATATATATATATATATATATATATATATATATATATATATATACAGAGGCAATTCAACGAATAAAATGAGAGGTGGGGGGGGGGGTGAATCCCTAAAAAGTACCAACTTTAAAAATTAAAGGTCCTCAAAACTAAAATTTATCCGACTCAACTGTGTCAAAAACCCGACTAGCCTACTAAATTTGTTAAAAAACCGACTATAACTTAAAATCACCTTCTTTGGAGGGTTTAACACCACTACCACCAGCCCCTCCCCCCCCCACACACACACACCCGTAAAAACGCCTCTGTTTATATATATATATATATATATATATATATATATATATATATATATATATATATACATATATATATATATATATATATATATATATATATATATATATATATATATATATATATATATATATATATATATATATGAGGTAAGAACAGGGCTGGGGGCCTCCGCCCCCACCCCTGTTCTTACGCTATTGTATATATAAACATATATATATATATATATATATATATATATATATATATATATATATATATATATATATATATATATATATATATATATATATATATATATGTATATATATATATATATATATATATATATATATATATACATTTATATATATATATATATATATATATATATATATATATATATATATATATATATATATATATATATATATATATATATATATATATATATATATATATATATATATATATATATATATATATATATGAATGTAAATAGTCGCTGATTATATATAAAAAACACCACCATTTCCATGATAAAGTAAAATATCAATTGAATATCAACTTTGCAATGACCAATTAAATATAAATTTAACTAATCATCACATAAATATCAAGTTTGCAAATGACAGTCAACTTTGTAAATCACTGTCTGTATTTACTTTGAAATTTCGTCAAATTTGTGTTGAAAATGGATTATCTAGTTTATCAAAAAAAAGATTAAAAACAACGTTTATCGAAAACTAAATTAAATCTAAATAATCGTTGAAAATTTAAGTGAATTCCAGAAAAATAGTTTAAAGCGTCACTTGTGTTAATACTTTTCCGAATTGCTTTTGCTATTATTTTAAAAAATTGAAAACGATTAAAGAAAAAAAAAACTCCATTAAATTTTTTTGTTGTTGTTACTTTTGGTTAACTATTGTAGTTTTGTATTTTTTCCCGCTAAAAATCGAAACATTGTTCAGCTTGTTTTGCATTTTTGGTTTTTGCATAATACAAGTTGAAAACGTTATAACGATTGTTTGTTGTCACATTTTTTTGTCAAATGTATAAGACTCAAATAAAAATCTTAAGTAAATAGACTTTTTGGCTGATAAAAAAAAAACTTAAAAATGTATTAAACCAATTATTTCAAAGTTTTCACAACTTGATATTAAAATTCAGATAAGCGAGGTCAATCTAGAGACATAATATAATATATAATGTTTCAATCAATAACATTCTCACCTTATATAAATGCCAATGTTTTATGAAATATGTTTGATTACCATAAATATGTTGCAATTGCTTCACTTTTTATAAAAATGAAGCAATACCATAGATTTTAATCCGAGTAAAGTTAAGCTTGATGATGATTAGGAAACACCATCTGTTGTATGCATATAAGCAGAACTTTTTTTTAATTAAAAGAAAAAATATAAACATTAAAGACACCGCATTCGTACAGTAAAATAAACAAGTACTGACGTAACATAATTTTTATGAACATTTTTTGTTTTTTTTTTAATTTAAAGTTACTATTTTTATTTTTGCGAAGCTCTAATAGTAAATTAAACAATTTTTTAAATAGTAAGATTTTCATTACAATATTAATGTTTATGCTATAAAAATCTTGAAGCATGCATATCTAGAAATACACGTTAAATATAAAAGTAAGTTACTTAAAATTGCCGAAGCATACACACACTTTTTTTTTTGGGGGGGGGGGGGGGCCTGTTATATATTTTTTTTGTTTGTTTGTTTTTTTACATATTTGCTTTAACCTCTCGTAGTTTTTTGACCTCATACAAAATAAAGTTACACTTTTACTTAAAGATAAACACATTAAAGTAACAAGTCAAAAGTAAACACAGTGCACCATATTTGATTCATTAGCGTTTTTATCTGTAAATAGTATTTTGACTAAACATATCTTAGTTATATTTGTGACTTTAAGAACCGTTTCCTTTTTTTTCTTTTTGCTATTTTACTCAGTAGAGCTGCTCATTGTCATCGCATCAATTATTTGTCGTTGAATCGATATTTTTATCTATAGCATATTCAAACACAAAACTTTTATTTGATTACTCTATTTACGATAGCATAAGGTTTTGAAAATTTTTTGAAACAGTCGTTAAGTTATTTTATTTTAGGCCATTAGGCTACTTATTTGATCGGAGTACTTACCTAAAATAGAAATTCGTATAGAACCAATATAACTTTTTTCTTGTTCTTTTTCCGAAAAAATATTTAAAAAGATTTTAACTCTAAGTGCAAATATTGCCTGTGTAAAAATTGATGAAATACTTTTGCACAATCAACAATAAAAATATTATTGATTCGAAATTGACTCGAAATGTAATTGATTCGAAAACATTGATGAAATAATTACTTTTGCACAATCAACAATAAAAAGTCGAAAATATAAAAAAATAAAAATAAAATAAATAGAGCACCTAATTTTTAGATTATTTCAGACAAACCATTTTATATAACAAATTATTGTCTATAATCAGTAAATGTTTCTAAAACATTAACAATTTAAACATAACCAGTAAATTTTTCTAAAACATTAAACTTTATTTACTTATTATAATTCCTTACATTCTACAAAAACAACTATATACAACTCTATGTACGAAAACCAAAACAAAGAAAGCTTCGTCTTACATTATTTGCATTACAAGTTTTCACATAAACATTTTACATCGTGACTCAAAGCACAAACAATTTGTTACATCTGTAATGTTTACTATATCTGAAATGTTGAACGCTCCGTTTATCGCTTTATTAAAAGTTTTTTACTTAAGCGTAATGCAATGCCGCCGCATACGTAATGACAAACCCTGCTTTTTAAATATTGAATTAATAAACAAACGTTATGATTCAATCTCGAAATGAAGGATCATGTATTTATTAAATGTACATCATCCCTGTTATTACTGAATATTGAGTATTGAAATTTTTTCTACGGAACAAGGACTAGCACGGTATGCATATTTATACTAAGTATTTACGTAGAGGCCAGCTGGCCCTATGTTAATAGTGAACCATTTAAATACAGTAAAATGAGTTTGATCTAGTTTTTGTTTTTAATTAGAATAAAGACTAGGTTACATGGCCTACTTAAATTACCTTACTTAAATAATTTTGTGTGTAAGTTTTAATTTCAAATAAATATTGTTATTACGGTACTTGGTACTTTAGTAACAAAATGGATTTTTTTAAAAAGTACTTACAGTATATATCTTAAAGTAAACCTTCAGTAACGTTTTTAAATACATGGTAATTTTGCTTTTTAGAAACTATTTCCGTGTAACTTTCGGTAAATTAAGATAAAAAAATATACAGTGAAATTATCATTAAATTTAACAAAAATAAAAATTTTTATTATCACTTTTTTAAATGAGATAAAGTTTCTTCAAAACTTCCACATGTAAGTATAAGATATGTAATACAACTTTCTTTGTATTGCGAAATCATAATATAAAAAAATAATACTAGTTAGGGACACTTCTAGACGATCGTAATCTAAAGTGATATTTACATTACCTTGAATAAGATAAATCTATATGAACCTCTTTTAAAATACAGTTTTGTTTAAATATTTATATTTCTGTTTTTTATTGTTTTCTTAATTACAAAAATATTGCTTGATGCAATAAAAAATAAAAAAAACAACAACAAAATTTATAGAAAACTCTTTATCAAAGAAAAACATGGTATCAAAATCATATTCAATGTCGTGTTGCACTAAGTATTATTAAATTAAAAGTTATATTTTAGTTATATATAAAAATTATAGTGTACCAAAATATATTTATAACTTTTACGTTAATAATTAATTAAATGTGACACTTTTAATCCGTTATTAATTATTAAAATTCGTTCTTTTAAAAAAAATTAGAATGGTTACAAAATTAGAAAGTAAAATAAACAGTAATGCTCAGTCTAAAACTTTGATTTGGTTATTATTTTATGTATAAATTTATGTTTACCCAAGCATTTATTACTGATTTTTCAAAGTATATATTATATTTTATGGAATGTTAAATCAATAGCGTGCTTTTTTTTCTAGTATTACGTCTTTTTTGTTACTCTTTTTATTTTAAATTTTTATTTTAAAAATTGTATTTTCTTAAGTAGTTATTAACCAGTTGAAAAAGTGAAAGTATTATGTTTTATTGTATACAGTGTACGAATTTTTACGGAATTTTGTCTATGCGATGTGAGAGAATTTAAATAAAAGCACACTAACATTTTTTTTGTATAAAATATAGAATATGCAACGCAACAACATTAATGCGTGACTGAACAGTATTCTCATTGCGCACTTGTTGCTGATACCCTCATTTTAAATAATTTTAATCCCCAGAAAACACAAGACAAAAAGAAAAACCGTATTGAGATTTCAATTACAAAAAAGTAAAATTTTTATTGATGAGGTATAAAATAAACTTACTTGGTGATCGGCAAAGCAGTTAAAGCTTTGTTAATTAATTTTATTTGTTAAGGTTTCACAACAAAACAAAGTCAAAACGTATAACTACAAACTGGTATCTTTTATCTATATTGTGAAAAGTGACGGAGAGAACTATCTAATAATAAATTACTGAGCACAACCTAATATCAAATTCTAAACATGGGTTCGTACTTCACAGAGGCTGCCTTACGAATTGAATTGAAACCCGTAGCATTTTTTACCGACATTTTTTACCAAAACATTCAACACTTATTAATGTTTTTAGCATTTGAGGCCAGTCATTGTACTTCTAGCAATTAGACAATTGCAGAATAAACGTCCGAGTGACAAAAGATGACAAGTAGCGACCCTCAAGGATCACTGTTTTTTGTGTTATTCATCATTGACTCAACAGAATACATTTACAACCAAGTTATAAACCGATGATGGAAGATAACATGAGTCATCGAGTCAATAAATTTTCTCTGATTATGAAAAACTGCAAGCGGACAACAACAGCGCTGTAAATTGATTGCACAAAGTAATGCAAGCCGATAGTTGCAAAAATTAAACAAAAATACTGTGGCTGACATTTACGGCAACGGATGCAGTATACTTCCAAAATGTATTGAGCGAGACCTTGAAGTATTAATATCCGACGACACCATAGTCAAAATACAAGTAGAAGCAGCAACTTGGCAAACCAATCGAATGCTTGATCGTCAAGGCATTTATGTGTTGAAGCTCTTTAGCTATGGAAAAACTGTACCAACTGTACATTAGGTACCGCATTTAGAGTTTTGTGTGCAAGGCTGATCAAAAATTAAAAATAAATAAAAGGGGACAAGAGGAATAGCTTATCACATATTGGTATTTCACATTCAAAATAAATTAAAAAGGTAAATAAAAAAATGTCGTTCTACTAAACAATTATGCCGAAATCCGAAAAGCCGAAAAAAAAACTTATCAAAAGACGCATCATCATCTTATCAACAACCCCATAAATGTCCATGTTCAGCTTAGGCAGCTGCTGCGGGGCCAGGGCGTTTGGAGAGGTCAGCCAGCAAGAAATCAATTTTTTGAAATGAGTTAAACATTTTTCAAATAAATTACATTTGTCACAATTTACTCTTACTATTCTACTTTGAATTTTGAATTTTAAAAAACAAAAAAACAAGCAATCTTCTAATTTGGAAAGAAATTTTGTCTGCTGCATTGTTTTTACCAGGGCAGGCGAAACAAATTTAAAAAATAATTCTATTTTTCTAAATTCTTTTTTTAAAAGTTAAGTAATCTAACAAATTTTTATATGTGAAAATAATAGTAAAAAATCATCAGAACTTTATAAATGAAAAAAATAAGTCAGAAGTAATCAAGTAGAAGTCTGAAGTGATCAATGGATAGCATGAACATGGATGAGCCTAGCAAGAAAAAATCCGGAAGTGAAAGCATCAAAGAAGCAAATTTAAAACGAATTCCAAACCTTAATATTGTTGCGTACTTGCCAAAGTTAACAAAACTTTTCGCAAAAAAACAGTTTAATGAATTATTATAAAAGGAGTTAATTCTTGGACTTTATTAGTGTGCGTAGCGAGAAGTTAGCATTTTCTAACGACCTTGTCGACTATATACGCCAAAATAATAGCCTGATTAAGTTCATCACAACAAATCAGTAAAAACGGCGACGTCAATGCCACTAAATTTTCAAGGGCTGAAAACCGTGACAATGCTAGAGCTTTGCGACGCGGCTCAAAAGAGTTGTTTTTTTGAAAACTAGTAAATGGAGAGAAAAAAAGAGAAAAAGAGAGAGCTATGTCATAGTTGCAAGACTCTTCGTTGTATGATGAACATAAAAACAAATAGTTCTTAACAGTTTCTTCAAAATTAATAATTTCTCAATATTCAAATCAAAAGAAGAAAGCTTTGAAAATGTTAGAGCATCAAAACGGCGTTTCATTTAACATGTTTAGTGGCGAAGAAATAGAAACTTTGACCCGTTATTTTTGGTTTTGCTAAAGCTATTAAAGAATTTTTGGAAACAAGACAATCTTGATGAGTAATCGATTCTTTTGTACCGCGGTCTTTGTAGACTTGCACTTTCGATGTATTCTTAATAAAAAACAGCAGATTTAGAATGACATTTTTAAACTTTCATTATCATATTATCAGTATTTATATTTTGAATACTTCGATTAAAGTTTAAAACAAGTTTTTCAAATTTTGTGGAAGTTTTTAAATGACGCTAAAAATTAATAATTTATTTAGTCTAAATAAAAACAAAGAGACATAAAAACCTCCCAGTGGACACGCGTCGTCCGATGTATGCCTACTGGGTTGGAGCGAAGTAGGAGCAAAAAACAAAGGCACGGCTCCACAAGCCTTCATTTGGGGTTAGAACTTAGCAATATGTTTTTAATTTTTTTTAAAACCTGGTTTGTATCGAACGTTCTAAACTCAAAAAAATCTTTCTTTGTGTATTAAGGAAAAAAAATTTCCTTTCCTTCATAATTTCTATACCGTAGTAAAAAGTATTCCTTGATTTAAGGAAACTTATTTCCTTAAATCCAAATTAAGTAAAAACAAAGGAAATATTTTTAAGGAAATACGCTTTTATGGTATTCGATAAATGCGTATTTCCTTAAAATAACGTGCGCCTTTATGTTACAGTAACGGCCCTGATATCGTATGAAATGATAAAGATGTTTAAAAAGTTATTTGTTTACGAAAATTATTTTTATTTTTATTATAAGAAAACAGTAAATTGTTTCCCAATCGTTAGAGAGTATCAGAAAAATTGACTAAGCTGGTATAATTATATAAAAGCCACATGTATGTGTATTTATTATTATTATTCAATTTTTTCCAAACTATGGCAATACTGTACTATACTTTACCATACTATGGCATAATATGTAATTTGCCATACTATGGCAAGTGTATGCATTGAACTTTTTTTTTTTAGTTTACAATGTTAGTCGTGTCACAAAATTTATAAGTCGTAATACATAAACATAAGTCGTAATACATTTAAGTCGTACTAACAATATAAAACTAGGTTTCCAAAAGAAGATCATAAGGATCTTATCATCGGAACCTTAAAAAGTAAAAATATTTATTTGTAACACATATATATACAAAATTTAACGTATTTATTAGATACAGCACATTTTTAATATATAATAAGTTGAAGATTTAACAAATACATTTCACATACATTTTTAATAGAACTTTAGAATGTTAACTTAATTTTAAAAACAGGAAGAGTAATAGAAGGATCAAAGTTTGGTAATACTATTTTATTCCAAAGATGGGGTGCACGCTATGCAATACAAAATTGATTGAACTTATTTAAAAAATTATTATTTCTTAACGTGTATTTATTTATTGGTTTTAAAGAAAAAAGGTCGTTAAAAACAAATAAAGATAAATCGTTTTTCCATATAAAAGTAAAACATAATATGTTAAATATGTTCAGTTTATAAACATCTAGAATCTTCATATAATTAAAAAAAAAATTTTGAATGTGAAAAGCGATCCGCATAATTAACTACGCGGATTGCATGTGTAACTTAGCTGTTAGGCTAGAAGGATCAAATATGCTTGATTTAATTACTTTTCTACGTTAACCTAAGTTTAAAATTATACTTATAAATTTTATAAGAATATAAATGTTTCACAGTATATATATATATATATATATATATATATATATATATATATATATATATATATATATATATATATATATATATATATATATATATATATATATATATATATATATATATATATATATATATATTAGGGTAGGCTAAACGCCCCTCATTTTTGAAAATCAAAAGGCACTGTTTTCCATGTGGTGTGGGTGTACTCTGTGATCAATAAAATCCCAAGTTTAACTCATTTTCACAAATTTTGGACCCCGCTCAATGGGCTCAAATATCAAATTTTGATCTCAAAAATTCATATAATGACCGGTAAAATAACCTTCAAAATAAAAATCTCAAAGGCATTGTTTTTAATTGATTTTAATGTTTATATGATCATTTTAAGCCTAACTTTATGATAATTGAATAAGACTAAGACTGTGCTCAAGAATTTTGGACCCAGAGGTTTGACCCGGTTTCCTTAAAAATTAACCGGGTTTTACAACATTTCTTATTAACCGGTTTGTTTATTTGACTAAGATCGCAATTATTTTAGACTTCTTAATTTTTTCGCATGGAAAAATCGTTGAATAATTTTAGTTATGATAATTATGGGAAAAGATACAAGATCAAAACGTAAAGTTTTTTTGATAAATGATATTATTGAAATACTACCATCATCTTAATTTCCTACTAGAAAGCAAGTTCTGCAATATTTACATGGCAAACTATTCAAAGCAAGAAAAGAAAATTTAAAATATAGTTTCTGTGATATGGTTTCTTGCAAATTTCCACATGGGAGTTTTAAAATTGGTTGCAATAACCCTCGAGGGTGTTCTTTTCTTAAATGCACATGTGTTGTTTTTTCATTTAAGAAAATCTGGAAAAGAATTTATTATATATTTGTAATTATATATTATATAGTTACAAATATTAGGTACGCGGATATCGCGATTTACGGAACCGATTTTTATGCTAAAATTTTGGTTCTCGTTTTTTTAACTCTTTTTTCAGGCAGCGTGAGGCAGACTTAATTTTGTGGAGTTTCTTTTTAGAAACAGATATACACATAAATACTTTTTGGAAAGAAGAAAAGCTAATCTTGCTTTATTTAATAAATTTATGTATTGTTATTACACTTTTTTGTTGATTATTTTGCTTCTGAATATTTGGTTGATGTTCTCACATGAATTTGTAGTAGAAGAAATGTTGATCCGGTTTTTTTTTTTATTCAGACAATTTTCTACATGCATTTTCTATGCACATGCCAAATTTCAACGAAAAATAATTGGTAGCAGATAGTTTAAAATGTGTTATATTACGTATACCACTTATTTTAGGTAGCTTTAGGCAAACGTGTTTTTGTGTGTTTCTTTTAAGAAACATGTATAAACATAAATTATTTTCATAAAGGAGAAAGGTTGATCTAAATTTTTATATGACTTTTATGTATGGTTACCCAACATTTTTATGGATTATTTTGCTGACAATATTGCATGAAAATTTCGTCCCTGTTCTCACAATAATTTGTTGTCGAAGGAATGTTGATCCGGCTTTTTTTGTTAGTTTTCCTATATTTTACATGCATTTTCTTAGCACCTGCCAAAAATCAACGAAAAATAATTGGTAGCAGATAGTATACTTAGTGTTTGACTTTTGGTACATAATTTTGGTTTTTCTGTTGTTTTTTTCGTTAAGCTTAATACGGGGGTGGATAGAGCCGACTATCCAAAAAAAATAACAAATCCTAATATCGTATTATTTTGATTTTTATTATTAGATTAAAATAAAGAATGAATTCTGACAGAAGTTTTATTGAATCTGTAACAGATAGTAAGTTTAATTTTTTTTATAATGATATCAATAATAACTATTTAAAATCAAAAAATATTCATAAATCATTTATGAATATTTTCTGATTTAAAATTCTTTTTTATGTAACATATAATTTATCTGTTTTTATATGATATAAAAACAGATTAATTCTTAATCTGTTTTTATATGTTACATAAAAAAGAAGATTAATGCTTCAATTTAAAACTTTGCTTTTGAATGTATTGTTAACTAATAGTATCTGTTGTCAATTTTATTATGACACAACATACAAATCAGATAATTCATTGGTTTTTTCCTTTGCAAAAGACTTGTTAGTAATTTTCAAATATAATAAAACTTATCATCTTATTATCATCTTTAATTATTTTTGGATTGTATACTTGTGTGTATAATGTATTGCATAATGTGGATTATTATTTAAATCATAATACAAGCATGCCTAATGTTTACATGTTGTTTAGATCCTGCTGCACATTATGAAGTCTTTTTTGAGTGGTAAGCTTAAAAATATTTTTATTGCATCCTTCAAAAAACCTGTGCATATATGTATGTATTTCGGATCAATTGCAATATTTCTTTTTTATTACATTTTTTTTTAACTTAGTTCCATCTACATCTGCAATAATTGGTATGTTTACAAACTTTCACTTTTCAATATGTTTATGCATTTCTTGGCAATCACAATATTTATTTTTACTTCAACTTTGTTAACCTTTAGTTACATCTTCAGCTGCTACAAGTGGTAAGTTTATAAACTATTATTTTCTAATATGTGTATGCATATCTTATCGATAGCAAGTAAATTGTAATTTTATTTTTAAAAAATTTTACCTTGAGTCCCACAACCTCCACAACAACTACAGATTTAGGGTTCAGTACCCTAGACCAATTAGTAATCGGTCATTTTTGCGGTGGGTCCGGTTAGGAGGGAAAAATGGTGAATCATTCAGCTGGGTCTATCATCCTCCTAACAGGGGTGCTGGGAGCTACAGCAGAAGAGGAAGCCGTGGAGGAGGTTGTGGGCAAAGACGAAATGGTGGCGGCCTTGTCGTGAATGGTGGCATCCACTATTACTAGGCGCCACCATGCCTGTTTTTTTTTAAAATAAATATATAAAATTATCGTTTGTTTTCCATTTTGTCCCAATTTTTACAATTATTAACATTTGATTTATTTATTTTAAATCTTTCACAAAATGATTTAAAAACGAAGCATTGACAGGTGTTATAGTTTGCAAGTGATCTATTTTGTATGTTTTCAATGTGATTAAAAGTTGTAGTGTAGAAAGTATTAAAGTTGTAACTATAAATAGTTATAGACTTTTTAATGCGTTTAGGATTTTTTGAGGTTTTTAGTATTTGAGGTTTTCTCATAGCACATATTAAATGTAGTTTCAAATTTATATGTAATGTTTTATAGAGTTAATAAATGTTAAATATCTTTGCATACCTAATTACTATTCTTTATTTTATTTTAGTTTATATACTGTTTTTTTGAGTTAAGAAATATTATTTGATTATAGACCAGTTTAATTGTTTGATTTTAAACCAGTTTAACTTGTTTACAGTTCCTAAGTATTATATTTACGTAACCATTACTTGTTTGTAGAAGGTATGTATAAGATTTTTTTTTACATGTTTTATTATAATGTTATTAATAATTAACATATTTATATATATTGTTTGTTTACTTTTCAAAAAATTTAATTAAAACTTTGGTATTTAACTCTTTGTATATATATATATATATATATATATATATATATATATATATATATATATATATATATATATATATATATATATATATATATATATATATATATATATATATATATATATATATATATATATATATATATATATATATATATATATATATATATATATATATATATATATATTTTTTTTTTTTTTTTAAGAATTATTGGTTCAAAAAAAAGTGGAGCAATGTTTGCGGATGAAGTGAAAAAAGATTGATCTTACATATGGTGCCTATAGACGGCTCTGGCTTACCTTCACCTGGTGTCTATTGTTAAAAATGAATTATTTAGTTTCATCATTGGAATTTTAAGTAATATCATTTACTAAAAGCCAAGACATAAATTTATATATTTTGTATTTTAAAACTTTTTAAAATATAAATTTTAAAACTTTGGTTAGTTTTTAGAGTGGATACTCAAACTTGCATCTTGTAATGGGGTAAGATTAGTAAAGTTATGTCTCTCTTTTTACACAATTTAAAGACATTTTTGAAATTTTTATTGACATTTTTTTAAAGTTTAAATAAGAAGAGGAGGGGGGGGGCGTTGGGTGTGGCATACACCCCTCCCTTTACTAACATGGTAAAATAATCTTGAATACTAATTTCTCTTTTTAAATAAACTCAGTTTAAAACCATTTTTCAAATATCTTTTAACTTTTTTTTTTAGGTTGGAGAAGACTGAGAGGAAGGGGAGGGGCGTTAAGGGTGGCATCGTCCCGCCCCTAATTTCAATTTATGCACCACTTGTATATGCTGTTATGTGAAAAAATATAGTTTAATCTTTTTAACACAAAATATTATGTGTTAAAAAGTTGTTTTTTAGGTTCAAATATTTATAAGATGGTAACATTTCACTACGAGGGTGTTAAAACGTAACAAAGACATCCACCCTTTAATCTAAAATATACCACTAATATTTGGAAATGTAATGGAAGCAAATTAGAACAACTTTTTGTGTATAAAGGTAACAAATTTTATCAGAGAAATACTCTTTCGTGTGAAAAACTTGTATTTTTTTAAGGTTTTGATGGTGTTCCGATACCCCCTCTGGCCCTCTAGACACCCCTTTTATCTAGAAAACCATATGAACTTGTAGCCTACTATTACATCTATCTTTTGATACCAAGGTATAAGCATTTGGATAAGATTTGATAAAGTTATAACAATTTCAGTGAAAAATAAATAAATTTTGGAACCAGTTTCTTCAAGAAATCCATATATCGAAAATTTGCTTCTAAAAACGTCATAACTTTTTTTTAAATTGTTCGTTTTTAATAATTTTTTCACCATTAAAATACTTTATTGAAGGGCTTTCTAATGATATATAACATTCTAGTATAAGCTCAATTAAAAAAAATCACGTACCTACAAATATATAATAAGAATATTATTACCTAAGAATCTTACTGTAAGAATAAAATGTTGTTTTCTTTATATAGAAGTAAGATATTGTGTTGGAAGATCAAAGAAAGAAGCTTTTTAAGAACAAATTACGTGACACAACACAAATATTAAGAAAAATAGATATCTACAAATGTGAAATAAAGTGGTTATTTGATATTGGTGTGAATACACCAACATAAAAGCAAAATATTTTATCAAACAAGCAAATGATTAAAAAGGAAAAAAACATTGATATAAATTTGTTGATTGATCAACAAGGACGTAAAACTGGGATGGGTAGAATAGACTAGAAGTACTTACTTGTAGCTCGTAGAAAGCAAAAGGAGATCGAATCTACCAATAAGAGAATGACTACTTCAAAAAGTAAATAATTGGCTTCTAAATTTATTACCAATTTAAATTTAAATTAGGTTAGCAATTGCAGAGTAGAATCAAGTTAGAAAGAGAATAATCAAGATTTTTAATATCAAAAGTAAAGTAAACCAAGATCTTATAAAAGAAAACCATATTTTGTTGAAGTTATCCTACCTAGGAAAATCTTAAAGGCCACTGCTGTTACAGCAAAGAGATACGGTATTCAGAGCTCAGCACATATTGCTACATTGGCTAATATCATAAACTCAGCAGGTGGAAATCTAAAAGACTTTGGTATTTCTGTTACATCTGCAAATGTTCATTCAAGTTATGTGATTAGTTATAATAGTTTAAACTAAAGAATATTATATTGAAATAGCCAAGGGAAAACTGCTTTGTTTTCATTTTTATACAAAAATAATAAAACAGTATTTTTATGGTGCAAATATAATTGTTGAGCGCTTCGCACTAGTGATTTTAAGTCCTAATATCAATAAAAAACAGTTTATTGGAAACTTCTTATCCAGATTTTTATTAGCGAAGAACAATGCAGTTAAAAAATAACACCCTCCAAATTATACATTTAAAACTGCTATAGGGGAAATTGGCATATACAGTGAAATCCAGTTAAGTTGAACTCTAAAATGGAATAGATAAAATTGTATGAATTAGAGAATGTCCTACTTAAGCAAAGCTCTTGGTTTGTATAGAAAGTCCAAGGGAGAATTTGAAATCTGACTGACTTATTCAGTGTTAACGCTATTCTACTGTAACTATATCACTGAGTCTATATTGCAAATTTTATTTTTTTAGTTTTGATTTGTATAAAAATTAAATATTGCAGAACTCGTTATCTATAAGGCAGTTGAGAGGGTGTTCTCTATATTTCTAGAGAATTTAATAAAGTCATTTATCAAAAAAACTGATATTTTGATTTGATATCTGTTCCCGCTTTTTTTAAAATAATATAATGTGATAAGTTATTAATAATAACAATATTTTTTATATACTGTTATATAGGTATGTCATTCTTTAACTTAAATATAACACAAACAAACACTTAATTCAGTTCTTTTTTGTTCAAAAAGTTAAAAAAATTGTATAAAAAAAGAGGGGGGGGGCAATCTTATTTATATAATGCTATTATTTTTTAATAATTTTTTTATGCCGAAAAAGTAATAACCAATAAAAAGCCCCCTTAAAGATTTGCAATCCCAATAAAATAAAAAAACCGGAAGTTTTAAAATATTATAGAAACCGTTTTTTTTTTTAAGAAACCAGGTCAAAAGTTTAGTCCTTTTAATGCTTGTAGGCAGCCTAAATCTTATTGAATTACGATGGGATTAGGCTTAAAATGATCGTAAACTTCTAAAAAATCAGATGAAAAGCATTATTTTTTTATTTTAATTTCTTAAGGGTGTTTAAACTGTCGCAATACGAAAATTTGTAATAAAAATTCGATCTTTGAGCCTGTTGAGCGGGGTAAAAAAATTCTTCAAATGAGTAAAGTTTTGTTTTTTATTGATCACAGAGTGCACCCACAGTATATGGAAAACAGTGCCTTTTGATTTTCAAAAATGAGGGGCGTTTAGTCTACCCTAATATGTATATATATATCCAGGAGCTTAATCACGGCTGTTTCAAAGTGGACATGCTGCTTCTTGTTTTTTTTTCAAACTAATTTGTTAAGGCGTGTTACTAAAACTAGCATAACTTTTGAAATATTTACTTAAATTCGTTCTGTAAAATATGTGAAGTATATATAAAAGTATATGAACACAAATTAAATGTTTTATTTTTTAACATTCAATGAAATAATCAAAAACTGCTCTGATTTTTAAATGAATGAAAAAAATGACGAACTTGACTAAATTTCGAAACTGTTATGGAACTTTTTAGCAAAAATAATCGGAAAAATAATATTTTTGTTGACTTATATGTAGTATAGACATAAGTTAGACCAATTATAAAACATATAAACTTTATTTACATCAAATGTGAACTAATACAGGCACTACACTATGCGAAAAAAAAAAAAATTTTTCTTAACTTTTTTTAAAAAAGTTTTTTTTTTTTTTTTTTCTAATTTTTATTTGTTTTTGCTTTTAGTCGTATAATAATATCTTTACACTTAGATCAATATTAATACTTTTTTGTAGAAAAATAATACCCATTTTTTATAAATGTATATAACAATAAAGGCAATTAAAATAATTCGTTTTTGTCAATTATCATAAACATTTTTTTTAAGTTAATATATTGATATATGTTATATAAGTAGTAAACGATCTTTGCACATGCAATTCATAGTTTTATTTCCATTCTATAACAAAAATACTCTTCATAATCTTGCTGACTTCTAATGTTAAATGTTAGCCCTTCATTCTTCTTCTGGAGTAAGGATTAAAAAATGATGCCCCAATACATATTGATGAAAATCTTACATGGAGACAGCGCATCAAAAATTTAATGATGTTAGTTGTTCATTCATAAACAAAAATTTTCTTTACTACCAAACAAACTGTAATGCTTATGTAACTGCAGACGTTTATTAAAATTATTTATTTTGTGGGTTCTCATAAGCAAGAAACTGTTTTAGTTGTCAGTTGGTCCAATAATTTGTTCTTGAGGTAGTCAAAGCACTCTTTGTACAAGAAGTTAAAGCTAGATAGTATTCCATTTATTCACCAGAAAGAATTTTATATTTTAGTTTTCAATTTATACTTTTTAAAATTAAAATTTAATTTTCTACTTTAATTTTTATACTTTAAAATTTGACTCGCTAAAATAGTTGTTCTCATCAAATTTATTACATACTTGCTTGGGACCTAAAGTATTTAACGTCACGTGATTGCTTTGAAATGTAAACAAAAATTTACGCATCAAACTAGAAAAATTTGTTTCTAACTAGCCAAGTTTGAAAACATATGTCATAACATAGCCAAAGGTACATAGAATAATTTTTTGATTTTTATTGTAGAAAGGGTTGAAATTTCAATAATTTAGTGCAGAATTTGAAAATATTACGATTTGCATTTAAATTAATAAAACTAAAAATATAAATGCATAGAAAACTAACTTTTTAAAATATATTAGATACTCCGCATCAAAAATCAGACATTTATTGATAAGTGTTCCAAATTTCAACTATCAAGCATGCAGCTATGTTATGAAATCTTAGTTGTCCCAAGAGAGGTTTTTTGTAAAAATCGCAAAAAACAGAGAAGTGATCCCAAATCAATAGCAATATTTTAACAATATTTACTTTTATTCCTTTTAATGTAAATATTTATGTAACAAGGAAAGATAGATCTTTTATATATTTTTTATTTGAAGATGAAAGCGCTAACAGAAAAAAAAAAAAAACTAATATTTTAAAGTTAATGGACTTTTAAACTTTATATGCAAAAATCTCTTATGCAGAAATTGTTTTTGCTAAACTTGTGACGTAATGTTCAATTTTACATTGCGTAAAGCAACTGTGTAATGGTAAACTTAATAAATTTAATAGGTTAACTTAGATAAACTTAAATAGATTTACTCAGATTAATTAACTTAGATAAACTTAAATAGATTTACTCATCCCAAACTGTACCTTAGATATTTGTCGAATGATCTCAACAAAATCACTGGGAAAATTGTGTACAACAGAAAAGTTTGCTTGACTGAATTTTTGATTGTGGAACACTTGAATTACATGTTTGAGAAATTTTGGATTTTTAATTTGGAGAATCCTTACGGTTTAGAGAAATTTTTGCAACTTCAAATATAGTTTAACCTTTGGCAAGGAACAAATGGTTGTCACCATCAACAATGTAGCTCAACCTTTTCAACAATAACATATACTAACTAGTGATCACCACTGATGATGTCTGAAAACTTGGCATAATTAAATGAATAAAAGTATCAACAAACTTGTATAATTCCCCCCTCCCCCTTGTACAGATCTATACACTTTTAACAACCTCCCCCCCCCCCCAATCTGCATACATATGCATTATTTATTATAACTTGTACTTCAGTTTTGTTATTTTGTGTGCTCATGCAACAGTTATTATATTGTATTAGCTTGAATTTTTGACTGCATTAGTGGCCAAAATTTCAATCATTGTATACTCATGCTGCAGTTGTTACATTGTATTTACACGAATATTTGGCTGTGTAAATTAGTTTTTAAACTTGTATGTATGTGCTGCATTTATTACATTGTATTCACTTGAATACATGGCTGCACAAGTGGCTGTGTTATTTTGCTCTTGCACAGTTATTATATTGTATTAATTTAATTTTTTTGTGTAATATTTAGTTGTGTAAACATTTTAGTCTATTTTAATACTTGTAATCTTGCGAATTGTTTTCCGCTAAGTTACTATTGTAGTAGCCATTTTGCTGTACACTTGTCACTTTTTGTGATTTGTGAATTTATTTAATGTGTTTGATTTGATAATTTTTTGGATCTTGGGTGCTACCTATAGTGCAACTATTTTGTAATTTAGCTTTAGTACAGGTTTCAAAATAATAACCTTAACGTTGCCAAATGACACAATTTTGTTTTGAATGTAAGCAATTAAAACAATTCTTTAATATTGTTTTTTGAAATCAGGAAATGCTCTTAATTAAACTTCTTAATGGCAGGAATAATTGCCTTATTTATATTCTATGATGTGAGGAAATTATCCATTAATTACAATCCTTAATGCCAGTAAAAATTGCATTAATTAAATTCCTCAATGTCGGGGAATATTGCCTAAATTACATTCCTTAATGGCAGGAAAAATTGCCTTAATTACAATTCTCAATAAAAGGAAAAATTTCTTTCGATTATTTAATTACATTTAGGAATTTTTCATTTTTAAGGAAATTATTTACTTAATTATTTCCCTTTTTTAAGGAACTTTTTTTAAGAAAAACTATTTCCTTAAAATTATATTTCCTTACTTTAAGGAAATCTTTACCAGTACTGATTTTGAGGGATTATTTCCTTATTTTTTCCCTTAAAAATAAGGAATTTTTTTTTTTTAGTGTATATGCTTTGTAATTAAAAACAATAACTCCAAGGGTGGTCATATTATTAAACACGCAAACATTGTCGCATAGATATTTTCTTACCATCTGGAATAGTTTGACCTTAAAAGCTGTATTTACCAAAAAAATTTTTTTTTTTTTTTTTTTTGATTTCATTTTATATTTCGCTGTTAAAATAAATTACAGATGAGTTTAAATGGCAAATCAATAAATTAAATATTTTAAGAACAGACGGGGACTCAAAGAAGATATCGATGATGCAATATCACCTCAATCTTTTCATAGTGCTCCTTAATATAATAAAATATTGATATTTCAAATTATAAAACATTCAAAAAGAGTTATAAAAATCCATTAAAGATGTAAAAGTAACAAAATAAAAAATATATAAAATAAACTAAAGATATAATTAAAAAGTAAATTATTTCTACAATTACAAATATATTTTGCAATAACTATATTGCAATTTTAGGTATTCAAAGAAATAAACACAAACATATACAAAAAGATTTAATAATTAATACATTAAAAAAAACGTATATCATTAGTAACTACTAAGAATAATAAGTAAAATTCATTTGAATAAATTTACAAAATTGTTTTGGAATTATTATTCCGTAAAATTAAAAATGCGTTTTTTTGCTTGAAACTTAAATGAGTTTAATGATTTTACCATATTTGAATTAGTTTTTATCGCACAGCAACATTACTATATTATTTAAAATTATTAACTTAGAACTTAAAAAAATTTCCGAATGGTTCAAAGTAAATATACTTTCAGTAAATATTGACAAAACTAACTGGACTCTATTTCCCGCATTTTCCAAAAAAAACTAATACCATACAAAACGCCATCTATATTCATTGATAATATTCGAGTAAAAAGAGTAAAAACTACTCAGTTTTAGGAATATGTATTGA